GTGAGGTGATTGCTGAGCATCTTGCTGATGCTGCTTCGAGGGACTTTGGTGCACTGGTTCAGCAGTGTAAGGACATCGAGGATGTTTGCGTGGCAAGCAAGGCCAAGAGGGCCAAGGTTGAGGAGAGCAAGGGAACAGGTGGTTCCACTCCTGCTCCTATTTCTTGGAAGGACAGGAGGTTTGCTGATAAGGGCAAGGGAAAGCAGTTAGCGACTAGGCAGGCGCCTGGTCAGTTCAAGAGAGTTGTTTCCCATCAGGGGAGTTCTGCTAGGCCTGCTACCACTCTGAGATGTTCGGGATGTGGGAAGGAGCATGTGGGACGCTGTGCTACGGGGCAGTTGCTGTGCTTCAAGTGTGGCAAGGAGGGCCACTTCTCTAGAGATTGTCCGTCTTCGACGGCGAGAGCTGCAGCTGTTCAGGCAGTTCCTTTGCAGATGGTTCCGATGGCATCTTCTTCGGCACCTGCGGTGCCACCTTCTGTTGGGAGAGTGTATACGCTGGATAGGCAGCAGTCGGACCGCGCTCCGAACCTTGTCAGAGGTACTGTGTCTATTGGTGATTCTTTTGTGGATGCTATCTTTGATTCCGGGGCTACTCATTCGTTTGTTGCTACCCCGATTGCTTTGGGGCTTGAGTTGCCCAGTGCTGTGCTTTCTCCACCATTGCGGGTGACTACCGCCACCGGAGAGATTTGTGATTCTACCACTGTACATCGCGATGTAGCGTTTCAGTGGGATGGCCGTGAGTTCTCGGTAGATCTGATAGGATTGCCGATGGCCAACCTTGAGATTATTCTAGGCATTTATTGGTTGTCTAGAAACTGTGCTTTGATTGATTGCTGTGCAAAGCGAGTGGTGATGTCTCCGTGTGATTCCACAGCTAGTTCATCGCCATACATTTCACTGCTGCAGGCTAGGAGAGCGCTGCGAGCAGGGGCATTGGGTTATGTCATGTTGGGTGGTTTGGTGAGTGGGACACAGGAGGATATCACTGACATTCCTGTGGTGGGGGAGTTCCTTGAGGTGTTTCCTGAGGAGATTCCTGAGTTTCCGCCACAGCGGGAGATAGAGTTCTCCATTAACTTGTTGCCCGGTGTGGGGCCGATTTCTTTAGCTCCTTATCGGATGTCGCCACCGGAGTTGGCTGAGCTGAAGAAGCATATTGAGGATCTTTCGGCGAAAGATTTCATTAGACCGAGTGTATCTCCTTGGGGAGCACCGGTCATCTTCGTGAAGAAGAAGGACGGGACAATGAGATTGTGCACCGACTACAGGCAGTTGAACAAGGTGACAATCAAGAACAAGTATCCTCTTCCTCGGATTGATGATTTGTTGGATCAACTCAGGGGTGGGTGCTTGTGTGTATTCCAAGATTGATCTCCTGTCCGGATACCATCATATTCGGGTGAAGCCGGAGGATGTCCCGAAGACCGCGTTTCGTTCGAGATACGGTCATTTTGAGTATTTGGTGATTCCGTTTGGACTCACAAATGCGCCGGCAGTGTTCATGGATTACATGAACAGGATTTTCCAGCTGTATCTGGATCAGTTTGTGATTGTCTTCATTGATGATATTCTGATCTACTCCAAGACTGAGGAGGAGCATGTGGAGCATCTGAGGATAGTTCTGCAAATGCTGAAGGAGAAAAAGCTTTATGCTAAACCTTCCAAGTGTGAGTTTTGGCTCAAATCAGTCAAGTTTCTGGGGCATGTGATTTCAGCAGATGGAGTTGCAGTGGATCTCAACAAGATTGAGGCCGTGTTGGATTGGGAGAGACCCAAGACAGCTACGGAGGTGAGGAGCTTCTTAGGTTTGGCAGGTTACTATCGGAGGTTCATGAAGGGTTTTTCCACGATGGTTCTCCCTTTGACTCACCTTACCCGGAAGGAGACTCCATTTGTGTGGACTCACGAGTGTGAGGCGTGCTTCCAGGAGTTGAAGGAGAGATTGACTTCTTCACCTGTGTTGATCCTTCCTGATCATGAGGAGCAGTTTGAGCTTTACTGCGATGCTTCTGGAAAGGGGCTGGGCTGTGTGCTGATGCAGTCTGGTAGAGCTGTTGCTTTTGCTTCGAGGCTGTTGAAGCCTCATGAGGAGAACTACCTGACTCATGATTTGGAGTTGGCTGCGATTGTGTTTGCTTTCAAGATTTGGAGGCATTATCTTTTTGGTTTGAGGTTTGTGGTGTTCAGTGACCACAAGAGTTTGAAGTACCTGTTCGACCAGAAGGAGTTGAACATGAGGCAGAGGAGATGGATGGAGTTCATAAAGGACTACGACTTTGAGCTTAGGTACCATCCTGGCAAGGCCAATGTGGTAGCCGATGCTTTGAGTCAGAAATCCAGTAGTTCATCCAGTTTGCTACTTGGTAACTTCGATGTGGTTGAGAAGTTCCGCCACTTGGCAGTGACCGCTCCGTGTGCGAGCGTACTTCTCGGGTTGGAAGCATCTGATGTTGTGAACGAGCTGCTAGAAAAGATTAAAGAGGCACAAGTTCAGAGAGAATGTCTGGATTATGTGAAGAACCAAGACGGTGTGTCTTGGAATGATGATGGATTGCTTTTGTTCCAGCGGAGGATTGTGGTTCCTCGAGGTCCGTTGACAGAAGAGGTTATGGCAGAAGGCCATAAGGGTCAGTTTTCTATCCACCCTGGTGCTACTAAGATGTATCAAGACTTGAAGAAGAACTTCTGGTGGCCGGGCATGAAGAAAGATGTTGTTATCTTTGTGTCCAAGTGTTTGGTTTGCCAGAAGGTGAAGATTGAACACCAGAAGCCGTCTGGTAAACTTCAACCTCTTGAGATTCCGGAGTGGAAATGGGAGAGCATTTCCATGGACTTCGTTGTGGGTTTGCCGAAGACTCAGGTTGGCTGTGACTCGATATGGGTCATTGTGGACAGACTGACGAAGTCTGCCCATTTTCTTCCAGTGAAGGTGAGCTTCACTACAGAGCAGTTGGTCAGACTGTATGTTCGCGAGATTGTGAGGCTTCACGGGGTGCCCGTGAGTATCATCAGTGATAGGGACCCGAAGTTCACATCTCGGTTCTGGGAGGCGCTGCAGGGAGCTTTTGGTACGCAGTTGAGATTGAGTACCGCCTATCACCCTCAGACTGATGGACAGACTGAGCGGACTATCCAGACCTTGGAGCACATGTTGCGGGCTTGCACGTTAGAGCAGGTCTCGACATGGGATAGGTACCTTCCATTGGTAGAGTTTTCGTATAACAACAGTTTCCATGCTAGCCTGGGCATGGCACCCTACGAGGCGCTCTACGGTAAGAGGTGTCGTACACCTACCTGCTGGTCGGAAATTGGGGATCGTGAGTTGTTTGGCTTGGATTTTGTCCAAGATACCACCCTGCAGATCCAGATGATCAGGGAAAAGCTGAAGCAGGCGCAGAATCGTCAGAAGAGCTACTACGATGTCAAGCATCGACCACTGGAGTTCAGTGAGGGTGAGCACGTGTTTGTGAGACTTTCACCTGTCACCGGTGTTGAACGGGCACTCGGAGTGAGGAAGCTGAGCCCGCGCTTTATTGGGCCATACCAGATTCTTGGTAGAGTAGGACCTGTTGCCTACCGGCTTGCCTTGCCTCCGAACCTGGCCAACATCCACGACGTGTTTCACGTGTCTCAGCTTCGGAGGTACATAGCAGACCCTTCGCACGTGGTGCAACCAGATGATGTGGAAGTTCGGGAGAACTTAAAGACTCCCGTAGGACCACTAAAGATTCTCGATCGTGGCGAGAAGCAGCTGAGGAGCAAGATCATTCTGATGGTCAAGGTGCAGTGGACCGGAAGGACTCCTGAGGAGGGTACTTGGGAGCGAGAGGACGAACTTCTCCGGCAGTACCACGAGTTTCGACCAGGTATGTTTCTGATTTTGAGGTCAAAATCCTAAAAAGGTGGGGTGAATGTAAGAACCCGCACCGTTAATTAAGGTATTTAATTAATTAATTATGCAAAATTAGGATTGCTCCAAGTCAAGCACGCTTAACTATGGAGTTCTTAAGTTATGGGCTACCAAAAAGTAGATGCATCTTGTTAGTATTGGTAGTACATATTAAATCCCTTAAGCCATCCCCATACCTGCACAGCCTCTGGATCCCTCTCGTTCGGGTATTGATTCAATTCATTTATGTACCCTCTAGTTGGAGGCCTGTCAGAAGCTGCTCCTTGTCCGTGCCTCATCTCTTTTGTACCGGCGATCACTGCAGCCCTAGTTAGCCCTTGGGATTTTACAAGTCTAGTGTGTTGAATGTAAGAACCCGCACCGTTAATTAAGGTATTTAATTAATTAATTATGCAAAATTAGGAAATGATTCCATAATTGACCCTAATAATTATTTATGAGGCTTAATAATCATAATAAGTGATTAAGAATGCTGAAAGTCGCTTTTCGGAAGAAAAATGCAGATACCGGTTCTGCTAGTCGGTATAAATGTGTGCCGAAAAAGTATCCCGGAAAATTAATGTGAATCTGCTGTGTTTGGACTTTGAGCTGTGGACTCTTGGCTTTTGGAGTTAGCTTGCAAGGTAAGCTTTCGTGTCCTCGGTTTAGCCATGTTGTGGTTCCACCATGTCCCATGGGGGTATGGTTTATGCATGCTGTGTACATGCTTTTGAATAATTGATATGTTGATTGAACTTTACATGTAATGGCTTTTAATATGCATGTGTTGTTTCATCTTGACGGGAAGCCTGAGTATGTAGCGCCATACAAGACGGTGTACCGGGGTGAATGCAAGTGGTACTTGCACGGTGTGTAGGTGATAGACGTATACCTGCACTGTCTCTGGCCAGTAGATTAGTATTGACACACATGACATGATTATCTGCTGCATTGCATTGTTTTAGAAATGATAAATGATAAACTGCTTTTGAACTTATATTGCACATGTAAGTGAGCTTGGGGTGGAAGATCCTTGAGGACTCACTGACTTACTGAGATTTCTAGATTAGAGATCTTACCCCACGTTTGGGGAATGCTTATTTCAGGATCAGGTAGTAGAGGTACTGATGCCTCAGGCGGCAGGAGGCCGGAGCTTAGCTGATTATGTTTTACTGCTTTATGTTAGCATGACTGGATTTGGGATGCTGTTTATGTTTTCTGCTATTTATGATATGTTGCTGTTGAGACTGATGTTGGGCATGTTGCCTTATTTGAGTGAGCATGGGGATTGTCCATGACACTTTCTGTTAGTACTTATAGTTTGGAGTTGTATAAACTGTTAGATGGTCCGGTCTACATTGTTGTAGTTCCGTGACTAGAGCCACAATTATATTATCTATGTTATGAGGTATTTCAGTTAGCTGTTTTATTGCAATTACATACAGGCGATGTTTTATTAATTGATTATTAAGTAAGTTGGTAATGTTAATGGCATCATAATTGAAAAGAAAAAGTAATTCCGCATTTTTAATTAAGCGCAGCTTAATACGATATTATGATAACATTACCGGATATATATGGGGTGTTACATTGAATGATTTTGTACTTTGTAGTGTATCTGGTAGAGATTCCCAAATATCAACATCTAGGTACGGGTAGTTACAATAGGGTGTCAATATTTAGTTAGATCACTTAGGTAGTTGCTTAGAGAAGTTGGAAGGACAGAAGTTTAGCTTAAATCGGAATAGGGTTAGAAGGTAGTGGAGGAGAGATGTTAGTATTGAGAAAACAAAGCAGCAGCTCAGTTGTAACGGGAAACCCTTGAGGAGATTTCTCTCAATAAAGATTCATTCTCTTTCTTTCTTTTGTATGATTTCTCCATGTTTGTGTGTCGGTAACAATATCTGATTTTATTGTTGTCCTCTGTTTAAGAGATTAAGTAAATTCAACTTTTATATATTTGAAATGGCAGAGGTGAGAATCTGCTGATTGAAGTTAGTGTTTGTGCTTTGAAATTGCATCTTCATGATGAGCATAATTGGTATTCCATTATGAATTTAATTGTTACATACTAAGGAACATATACAAAGTTTTTATATATGGATATGGGTTCTTGAAAAAATGCTGCTTAGTGGAATTCAAAGATCTTGAAAATGCTGTATAATATTTTTTTCATTTCTATTGTTATGCAGCATTGTAGTTGCAATGTTAACTTTTGATTGGGGAAGCAATTTTATTTTTGTCATTTGTTGAATGAGAAACAGATTGACAATTCCTCTGGTAAGCAACAAGGAGCAGTTGGTGAAGGTGATGTTCAAATTAATTTCTCTAATGAAGGTGGATTAACCGAGCTTGAGAAACTATTAAAGCAGAAGACTTTCTCCAGGCACGTTTTGTATCATGTGCATGAGAAATTATTGCTTTTGTTATTTAGTTGTTGAATATATATTTGCTCTTAGCATTTGAATAATTTATCGAACCTGATTTTACTTCTTCCTATTGTCTATATCTAGTTCTTGCCAGTCTGAGTTCTTTGATAATAATATGCCTCTTGGCATAAATATTTTTTTGATTCTTTACATGATCATTGTCTATTATCCACAGATTTGAGATTGATCATTTGACAGCACTGATTGAGCATTTGACAACACTTATGCGTTCAAGAACTGTGGATGCACCTATCAGGGAAGAAGAGAAGAAGAGAAGAAGAAAGAAATGGATCCCTCAGAACCAATGTTGCCTTGCGGACAAAGGGAAGAATATCCGAAAACACCTGCGCAAAAAAACGGGATTGAAAATCGTTTTTTTGTCACCCCACATGTTACTTCAAGTGTAGGAGAACTTACCTTCATAGTTATCTTCTACATATATTTTTGGTTGTATCTTGTGGATTGGAAATTATTGATTTCTCTATTGTGCTCCGTCCCACATGAATTGCTTTGTGATGTCCACAGGTTCCCATCGAGGATGTTGCTTCACTTGCAGAGCTTGCAAAGGCTTACATGGGGAGCAGACCTTCTAAGGTTTCCTCATCAATGTTAGGTGTGCAAAATCCTGTACTAAGGGAGGATCCAACTCTTCTAAAAAGAGAAAACTTTCCTCTTAAATCCCCTATTATGTCAATTGTGCCAAAGGCTACTAGACATGCTGCTGTTCATGAAAATGGTTTTGTGACCCCAGGATCTCATGGAAGATCTGCAATATATAGAATGGCTCGAACACCATATGCCAGAATATTCCTAGCCTCCACACTCAAGGTATGCCTTTTCCTGAATACCATTTTGGATCATAATGTTTCTAGGATCAAAATTTTTATGTGGTTTCTCTAATTTTACAGGGTGGTGGGCTTGCTGTTCAAGGTGAGCCGTCATCTTCAACTCGGTCTGCATTGGATCATGACATTCTTTCTGGACCTAATAAAGGGGTACAAGTACTTGCTAGTTATAAGTCGTGTCTTTTCAATGTATATTTTAGATATGTTACTAGATTTTGTGTTTCGCTTTTCTCATTTTTGCAGACATTAAAGCGTAGAAGTTCGGCATTGGATAATGATGTAGGATCTTTTGGTCGTATCCTCCATATCCGTCACAAGTCTAATCTTGGCAGATCTGCAATATATAGTATGGCTCGAACACCATATGCCAGAATATACCCAGCCTCCACACTCAAGGTTTGCCTTTTCCTGAATACCATTTTGGATCATAATGTTTCTAGGATCAAAATTTTTATGTGGTTTCTCTAATTTTACAGGGTGGTGGGCTTGCTGTTGAAGGTGAGCCGTCATCTTCAACTCGGTCTGCATTGGATCATGACATGCTTTCTGGACCTAATAAAGGGGTACAAGTACTTGCTAGTTATAAGTCATGTCTTTTCAATATATATTTTAGATATGTTACTAGATTTTGTGTTTTGCTTTTCTCATTTTTGTATACATTAAAGCATAGAAGTTCAATATTGGATAATGATATAGGATCTTTTGGTCGTATCCACCAAATCCGTCACAAGTCTAATCTTCTCTATTCTAAAGGCTCAAGCTTACCTCTTTCTGGTAGCTCTCTAGCTGTTGCTAGAAGTGGAGTGGGTATTTATGCTGCTCAGCAACCCTCATCTTCCATGCAGAAGCCTATTCTACTGGATGAAGTCAAGCGTAGCCATACAAAATTGTCAGAAGAAAATGTGGACAATACTATACCTAGTATGAGCTATTCCCCTTTACCCTCAAAATCGAGTGAGATGGCTTCCAAAATACTTCACCAACTTGATAAATGGGTTTCTCCTAAAGAAAAATCATCCGAATTAAGGTTACCAATTGTCAATGATAATTCACCAACAAAGTTGTCACCTTCCATGTTACAAGGACAGGCTCTACGAAGCATGGAAATGGTAGATTCGTCAAAATTGCTGGACAATGTATAAGGTGATAAATTAAATGGCACATTTGGAAATTTGTCTGCTAGTGCTCAGAATCAGAAGCTAACTTCACAAAGAAATATGGTTGAAAATGGTCAATTGAAGCTTGTTGCTCCTTCTGATGGATTAGTTCCAGTCAAAATTACTACCGATGCTACAAAACCAAGGAATCAAGTCCTGTCTAGTGCAAAATCTGTGGATTCTTTTACGATAAAATCTGTTTCTTACCCCCCCAAAAAAGAATAAGGCATTCCATCTGAGTGCACGAGGTATGATTTGTATGATATCTAGTTGACTATTTTTTATAGTTATGTCTATTTTTTTAAAAATATTTTAGTATGTGGCATTATGTTAGTTGGTTTACATTAGCTTTGTGGGAATAACCGGTGTTACTCACCTTGTAGGCTTGTTGCTTCCTTCCATTTAATCACTAGTAATGAGTAAAGCAATTGACAATAGATCTTAATTTGGTAGTTGTATTTATATTTTATTTGATTCCAAACAGAATAAAATGTGAGTTGAGTTTTCAAATGAAAGATAGTGTTCAACCTCAGGTCATGTTTATTCACTATTCTTTGTATCTTTCTACTTATTTAAGGATTGTTTGGACCTGGATGATAATGCTCATCCTAATGGAGCTTTCTTCTCTTTTTCTCCTGTTGAGAAAGAAATAACCTGCTCCACTACCATGGCTGAGAATAGTGGCGCCTCTTTTGCACAATGTGGCGCCTCTTTTGGGCGTCACATGTGATGCGTGACGCCTCTTTTGGACGTCACATGTGACGCCCCAATGAGGCGTCACTCATCAGTCATCAAGTGTTGACACGTGTCATATTTTGTTTCCAAAAAAGAAATTAATTTAATCATAAAACTTCTGAAGGCCATAACTTTTGACTCGAGTATCCAAATCAGGTAATTCTTTTTTAGATTCCACATACCTTTTCGAGATCTACGCAATGGAATCTCATTTGATATATTTTATTTCACAAAAACATAATTTAAATTTAAATCAGGTAATTCTTCTTCCGTAGAGATTTAGAATATTTATTTAATTATTTCCTTTATTAATACAGATTTTTCAAATTGATTTTTGAGTTTAAATCACAAATCAAATCTTTATTTTGTTTTCCTTTTTAATAATAATTGTTACTTTTAATTTAAATCACAAACCAAATCTTTATTACAGTTTTGAGAATAATTACGGATCTATTGCATAATGTGACGCCTCTTTTGGGCGTCAAATGTGACGCTCCATTGAGGCGTCTCACCCTAAGGGGAGACGCCCCAATGAGGCGTCACTCATCAGTCATCAGGTGTTGACATGTGTCACATTTTTTTCCAAAAAAGAAATTAATTTAATCATAAAACTTCTGAAGGCCATAACTTTTGACTCGAGTATCCAAATCAGGTAATTCTTTTTTTGATTCCACATAACTTTTCGAGATCTACGCAATGACATCTCTTTTGATATATTTTATTTCTCAAAAACATAATTTAAATTTAAATCAGGTAATCCTTCTTTCTTAGAGATTTAGAATATTTATTTAATTATTTCCTTTATTAATAAAGATTTTTCAAATTGATTTTTGAGTTTAAATCACAAATCAAATCTTTATTTTGTTTTCCTTATTAATAATAATTGTTACTTTTAATTTAAATCACAAACCAAATCTTTGATAAAGTTTTGAGCATAATTACGGATGTATTGCACAATGTGACGCCTCTTTTGGGCGTCACATGTGACGCCCCATTGAGGCGTCTCACCCTAAGGGGAGATGCCCCAATGCGGCGTCACTCATCAGGTGTTGACACGTGTTATATTTTTTTCCAAAAAATAAATTAATTTAATCATAAAACTTCTGAAAGCCATAACTTTTGACTCGGGTATCCAAATCAGGTAATTCTTTTTTTGATTCCACATAACTTTTCGAGATCTA